CCTGGATTCTGTTAATATACAGTTTGAGGTGAAAAATATAACTTTGCAAGATGCCGGATATTACACAGGAGGTGTCTTAACGAAAGATGCTTGGTCAGGTGAAAGAGGAACTGTACTAGCTGTTTTCGGTAACTCTTTTTAACGTACCTTCATGACTTTCCTGTTTCATGCTTTTTACGAATTGAAATGTTAAAAAACCTAACATTTTATATTTTTCTTTACTTTTGCGTTCGTGTAAAATGTTGATATAAAAAATATGAAATAAAAGAGAACTTTTTTTTATTATTTCATGAAAATAAATAATCACATGTACAACAAGACTGTTTATAAACACGTAAAAGAGAAACGAAACTTAATCGGTTATAGTTCGTTTCTAATTCATCAACACTTTATTTTCAATCAATCCAGGAACACCAGTTAAACCTATTATATCTGGAAATTCAATTGTTCAAGTTGGAACATATGCCTACATGAAATGTGAAAGTAGTTCAACCTCTGCTCCACACTATTACAAGAAGTTTCCGCCATTATCGTATTCATGGTTTGTCAACAATACTAGGCTAGACAGAGAGGACAGACAGACCTACAGCTTCATTGTCACCAAAGATGTTAAATACAACAGATACAGATGTCAAGCAAAAGAAACACTTATATCTGATAAAAGTGAAGAAATAAGGATGGATCCTTTGTGTAAGCAGAGTCAAATTCTAATTATAGTTCACAATCATATTTTTCCAACAAATATGGTGATTTCAGAAATAAAATTATCAGACGGTTATGCTTTAATTCATTGATCATTGTTTAATGCTGAGCCAGCGATGTTTCAGCCATGTTCCAGTACTCTTGTAACAGAGGTAAGGTTGTTCTTTATTGTAGAAAACTGAATTCATTATTAATTAATCGAAGAATGCATGACTTATTTATGAATACTTAAAAAATCAGATAATTAGCACAGTTTCATTTTTACGAAACTAGCAAGTTCATAACCCTGACGAAAATAAAAATAAATTTGATAAATTTGATCATGGAATTATTAGTGAGGGTATTGAAATCGCTAAAATTGAATATCATAATATTAATTGCGCTTAAGTTGTAATAGCTTCTAAAGTGAACATTTCAATATCACTAAAATTTCTTCTTACTTAAAAAAATGTACTGAATTTTAGGACACATCGTTAAATTTGCGTCTCGCTAAAATTTCCAATTACCGGTATACGGTATGACTCTGTAAGCAAAACACCTGACTCACAAATTCTTCTCACCTAGAATCCCTTGCAGTTACAATATTAAGTCTCAACATTCAGTATATTATCGCCCGTATGGCGCTGTCTGTTAGAGCGTCCGCTCTAGAGTCGCGAAGTAAGGAGCAGGTTCGAATACATCCATAGGACATGGCGAATTGTCCTTCGGATTAAACCGTATGAGACCGAGGTCCCTTGTCGCAGTAGGTGTTGGTGCGAAAAAGATCCCTCCCTACCCCAAAAGCCCTGAGTGCCGAGTATAGGTCAATGTTCGTAGCTCTACACCTGCAAGTTGTGACGTCTCCGTATGAGGAAAAAATTCTCGAGAGGGACGTTAAACAGCATACAATCAATCAATCAATCAATCAATCAATCATTCAGTATATGTCTCGGATTTAATACGGGGCAATGCAATGATAGAGTTTGAGTCGAAATTTCAGCTATATGATTAGTGACATTACCAGTTGTTCCAGGTTTGTCGTATGTAAGCGGCCGGTGGGATATCTTCAGCCATGGTCCGGAGTCTGCACATAGCTCTCTTTCCTACCCGTGCCTGCTTGATCACAAAAGATGTTGTAATCTTGAATATTTACGCCTCTCTATTGTGACGTCATATACATTCAATGAAATGTTTTGTTTCAATCGCAATTGAAATCAACAATTGACATCAGCAGTATACAATCCGCCACGAAATATTCCGTACACTGCGATTGGGTATTGAAAGGTCGCATCAAAGTTCATTATCCGACTATGCTTTACTCGCATTGGTAAATTTTTTAATGATCTGCGAGAACTTCTCTTCTCATTCAACCATGGCTAGAATAGAGAGGATCGTATATTTTGGCCGTGGTTTGCGACGATGCCGGTGTGTTTGTGGACTATTTACAGATAAGCCTCGGTCGTTATGTTTATTACATACGCCATGGATGAAATTAACGGACAATGAAAATAGGGACATGTAGGAGCTTCTTTATTATCGGAGCAACTCCATGGAAAAGATGAAGAACCTTAGAAGACGTGTATACAGTGAATTTGTCATTTCATATTTAAAACTTAAAACGTAAAAAATGTCTTAAAAATTTTATGAATTAACATGATCTCAATTTGTGACTTTTGGAAACATGTCAAGATGATTGCCTACCTACATGTTTCATGTAGTCACGATAGCTTTCGTGTTAACTTTGAAAATTCTAGATTTGCAGCACAAAATTTAGAATGATATAGATTACCGTGGTTTTAAAGACAGGTCATTTAACAGGTCTGGACGATTTCCAAATATGGAAGTCAAGAAATATAACCGTTGATTGCTATAAATACAGAGGATAAAGAAGGTGCCTATCTTTCTGACCAATCAGATAACGGCATTTTGACAAACCCATGAGAAAATAAGCAAAACACATGGTATTAAAATTTTTTGCTTAAAAGATTAAACAATTTTTTTTGTAAACGTTATGCACATATAGGAATGATATAGAATATATGACAAATCTACCTTGAATAAACATCACATGAGCGCTTAAAATAAATTCTAAGTGGGATTAAACATCCGCAAATACAAGGTTGCAAACCCAAAAGTTTAATTTATGTTAAGAAATTTAATATAAATACGGCAAAATTTCAGTTGATAGAGCCTGGCATGAAATTTATTTTTGTATAGGGATATATTATTATTGATATGATATTAAAATATCATCCTTGCTGGATCTTGATACCATTCTCTAGTTGTACAGTCATGAGAATGAAAGAATATATGATTTTTTGGATTCATTATATTTAATTTTTTCAGTCAACAAGCAAATTTACTTTGAATATTTCATTTGGTCAAAAACAAGACAGGAATCCTTCTTTAACATAATTATTATTCTCTCCGCGTTTTTGCTGTTCTGCTAGATCTTTGTTACAGTATTTAATTATTTCGTCTTTTCTTTTCTTTTTAATTTCGTTTTTTTTTAATTCTTAAATTTCGTTTATTATTTAATTTTTTTCAAATATTTTTGATATTATTAAGTTCATGTTTGCATTTTTGTATCCATATAAATGCAAAGAAAAAGTGTTTAAAGATGAAAAAGTACTGATAATTTCAATTATGTATTTAATTCACAAAACAAGTAATTATCAGGTCATGGAATATGAAAATCCCTTCGCTGTTCACTTGAAGTATATTTTTTTCGGAAATTTAATCTCTTTACAGATGGTCCGAAGAATATAACTAAATCCACAGCCGCCTTATGACGGACTAAGTGTTCATGACGGGGAAACATTTGGTCCATACACATGTTCAGTTGACTGTAACCCACCTTGTACCGTGCAGTGGAAACTGAAGGATCCCTCAGGGAGTTTCAGAGACGCTACATCCATTGGAATGTCCTCAGTTACTGTACCAGTGCTATCAGCGAATAAGACTAATATGGCATCAATTCGGTGTATAGTGAGCGGTACTGAAGGCAAACAAACATCAGTCATAAATCTTAACATTCTATGTAAGAATATTTTTAAGCATTGTCTTACAGTATTTGCTATACAGAGAAAATAACACCAGAACAAATAAAATGAAAGAAAAAAACCCTCTAAAATACACAGAGCAGTTTTGCTATATATTGGGCTGAAAATTGTACTGTGCAGTGGAAATAAAAACATCCGTCAGGGGGTTTCAGAGACGCTACATCCATTTGCATAATTTCGAACAATTTAGCACAGCAAAAAGCAAACAGAGCAACGAATAAAATATTGATTTGATGTTTAGTTAGCAGAACGGAAGTTTGCTCTGTTTTAAATATTAAGTTAGACATTCAGTGTAAGTGGGATATGCAAACTTTTTTGAAAAGGAAATCGCTAATACATTGTGAAAAAAAATAGCTTAAAACCATTTCCCCATGGCTTCTTTCCTCTGTTCTTTCAATTCTTATAAAAAAGTATAGCACTTATCATAATCACACATTTATAGCCTTAAGATACAAAATAATGTTTTATTTGATTCTTTATTTTACCTGACGTATGAAAAAATGCATATCCGACATGACTGTAAAACTATCTATATTAAAACTTAAAAGCAAATATCTGATCCATGCGATACATGCATAGAATCCTTGGGAAAATGATATATGTATAGCGTCTTTTCTAAAAAAAAAATCCTAATGTATGGCAATAACTCTTGCAGCATCGTTTTTATTCTAGGTTAAACGTGCTGTATTTCATCTTTTGCACTATACCTGTCATGTATGTTTACAAATTTGATGTCTAAGAAATGAAATTCTTTGATTTTCTTTGAAAGAATTAGTAAGTTCATTTTTCATTTACTGTTTCATTTAGAACATATTTAGTGTACGTATATGCGTTTGAAACGTTCAACATTAAAAAAAATATAATACTAAGGAAAAAAATAAATTAAAATACTTTAAAAAACACGTATCTTCAAGTTATTGGTCGATTAGGTTTGTTTAATAATAAAACTTTCTTTAAAATTTAACTAACCACAGTCTTGAACTTTAATTTTTGAAAAAAAATGTAAGTTTTCAACTGAATTTTTTTTAAGGCGACAACTTGATGTTAATTTGATTCCTTTTCTTTTTAATCAGATTTAGTGGATCCGAGGGTATATATCAATGGTAAAGCTAGCGATGCATTAACCATTAATGAATCAAATCAAGTTGTCCTGTCGTGTTATGTCGATGGAAATCCAATTCCAGAAGTCACTTTTCGAAAACTCACCGGGAACCAGATCTATATACAGAATGCAACTCGTTGGCTAAACTACACATTGATCAGAAGGACCCAGTGTTCTGACACGGGTACTTTACAATGTGTCGGACAATCAACTGAGTTTGGGAGAAGGAATCAGTCCTTCAGTATTAACGTTCTCTGTACGTATACATTGTAGCAGAATATAGAGGTTTGATAATAATTTTTGACTATCTATTGTCATTAATGTTTTGATGTTTTTGTAGAGTTAAATACTTAGCAATATTCTTTATGGAATTGCAGGTGAACCTCGCCTCGATGAAGGTACTTTGGTGAAAAACATCTATGAATCAAGAAGTGGCCCGGATGTTAAAGTTGTTGTAAGTTTACCAGTTGTTGCGAATCCCCTTACATCTACATCAGGGTTCGTTTGGTTAGGACCCACATTTGCGTCAATTTCAATGTAAGTTTCACAAAGAGATAACGTTGTCTACAAACACTGGATCAACAGCTCCATCCCCGTTCCTGATCAGAAATCTTTTGGAACCTACTCGCTGAAATACAAAGGAAAAGTCTTCGCTGATATACAAATTCACGCAAAAGGTAGGATATCTTTAAGAAGATCTAAACATTTTGCTAAAATCCAGTCTCTCATCAGCAGAGGGCATTTTTACACTACAGTCCAACACCTCTGACGTCTCCATATCAGTGAAATATTCGGGAGAGGGACGTTAAACAGTATACAATCAATCAATCAACCAACACCTCTGTTATCGTCTTTTTATCAGATAAGCAGTCAAGGTGACCAGACGTGTTTTTTACAGCTCCTGCATTTCTTATCTATACTTAGTAATTACAATGGAATAATAATGAGTTTGAGTGAAAGTTCTAACCTTTTCAAATCACTTTTGGACTCATTTACTGGATTTTCAAGATCATTTAGTGTAAATAATGAGCTTCAAAATGAATCTGTGAAACTTGATTCAGATGCGCCAGATTTCCTTCAAGTTAAGGAAAATCAGAGGAGTGTAACAATAACATTTAATGGAGACAAGTACCCTATCATCTTGGATCTTCTACAGAACGAGCTTGTGCTGTTTAAAAACCGAGAGAAAAGAAGACATGGGTCTATATATAAATCTCAAGATGATTCTGTCACAGCTACCATTTATGAGAAAACAAATACCCTTCACATCCAAGGAGATTCATATTTCTCGTGGTGCCAGAGATTTCTCAAGGATTTGAAGACCTCTGATGAAAATTTGGAGACAAGGTGTAAGACCATAGAGGAAACATCACCCCAGTGCACATCTACTCCTAAAAGTAAGGCCCCACAAACTGATGAAGACCCCAAATTGAATTGCCATCAGTGCATTGACAGTGCAAAAATCATTAAGGAACTTTCAGATACGGTCCAACTTCTGTCAAAAGAAGTCAGTGATCTTAAAAAACAACTAAATGCTTCAAGGACGGTCACACCTCTTATTACAAAAGGAACCCAAACAGTTCCAAACAGGACAAAAGAAAAAGAAACATCAACAGAAGGAATTAAAATTCCTGGGCCTGGTGTATCCAGGCATAGTCAGTGCGAAATTAAAGTCCCATCAACCAGTAGAGGTACAGTGACAGACTCCAGGGAGGCTCCAGACATCAAGACTGCTCCTGTTTTGTCAAATCCTGAAGATTTCACGAGGGGAAAAAAGCAACCCGGAAAGAAACCAGAGGAAAAATCTGTACTCATCATTGGGAGCTCGATTTTACAGAGGATTCGCACTAGAGGATTACATTCAACAGTACAGGTTAGCACAAACAGGGGAGCAACCATCTCTGATATAAGGACAAAACTTTCAAGAATGGATGTATCATCATATCAAAGTATTATTGTTTTAGCTGGAGGAAATGATGCATCAAGACGGCGGGATGCAGAGGGGATGGAACACGATTTTGCGGAAATAATCGCAGACCTTCAACATCGGAATCCCAGTGTACGTATGTATATTTCAGAAGTGTTATCAAGGCGTGATACGAATGTCAGTGATGTTAATGAAATAATTAATGATGTGTGTGAAATGTATGGTGTCACTGTGATTCCTACTTCAAAGTTCTTTGGAGATGGAAATCTTAAACAGGGATACTACTGGAAAGACGGAATCCACCTGTCAGACAGAGGTACCGCAGCTCTGCTCAAAATCTACCAAGGTTATGTGAATATACTGAAAAGCGGAAACGGGCGAGGAAACTTCAGAAAAATTACATCACTTTGCAACGATTCTTTCCGTTCAACTTTCTGCTATTTCTGTGGGGAAAGTGGCCACATATCGCGATACTGCAGGCATGGGAGAAAGCTGGACTGTTGGAACTGTGGAGAGCTAGGTCACAAAACCAAACTCTGCCCGCATAGCCACTAGGAAACGGGCAATGGAAGTATAGCCGTCACCAATTCCCGAGGGATAATTAATAACAATAATGTATATTCTCTTTTTAATAATTTATGCTCCGAATGTAATCAGGTTTATTGTTTATGCCGTGATAATGAGTTTTCATGTACATTTTTTCAAAATTCTAGAATTAAGTCAAACACTTTATTTAATTCGCATAAATTCATTAAGACAGAGAAAAATATTAATAGGCCTAATTTTGCTGCCAAGAAGGTTTCACAAAAATCAGACGAATCAACTGTATTTACAACAAAAAATGGTAGTGTAACAAGTAAAAGTAATTTTGGTTTGATGAAAAAGGGATTAAAATTTGGAAACCTTAACATTTGCCACCTAATGCCAAAAATTGAAGAAATTAAAATTCTGCTTCAAAACAAACAAGATCTTAATGTCTTAGGACTTTGTGAAACCTTCTTGAATGATAACATAAGTGATTCTGAGTTGAATATTGATGGCTTTGAAATGGAAAGGAAGGATCGCATTCTGAGGGCAGGTGGTGGAATTGTAGTATATATCTCCAATAATATAAGATACAAGCGTAGAACTGATTTTGAAATTGGTGATATTGAAACAATCTGGCTAGAATTAAATTCAAAGAATTCTAAACCAGTTTATTATTGTTCAGCGTATCGTCCACCATCTGCTCCCTCCTGCTGGGTGGAGGACCTGGCTAGAGAGATTAACTGTGCCTCCTGCTGTGACGATGCAGAAATTATCTTAACAGGTGACTTTAATGTAGACTTATTCAAAGAACCCCCACAAAGTTGGACATATGCTTTAGAAGAATTTGATTTTTCACAATTAATTACAGCAGCAACCAGAGTAACTAATACTTCAAGTACCCTAATAGATCACTTTTACACCAATAAACCAGATAACATGTGTGAAGTAAATGTACCTTTTATAGCCATCTCTGACCATTACCCAATATGTGCCACTAGAAAAACAAAATGCATGCAACAAAAAGGAAAACACGTAGAAATAGAGTACAGAGACTTCAAAAAGTTCGATGAAAATAAATTCCTTCACGACTTAAAAGATGTAGACTTTAACAATCTCCTCCAGATGCATGACCCTAATGAAATACTAACTGAATTCTATGATTTATTTAATAGTATACTTGACCAGCATGCAAAGGTTAAAACAAAACGCGTAAAGAGCGAAATCCGCCCTAAATGGATGACACAAGAAATAAACAATGCTAGACATTTACGGGACTCTTACCATAAAGAAGGAGATATGGAGAACTATAGAATTTATCGAAACAAAGTTAGTCTTCTTATAGACAAATCAAAATCGTCTTACTATAAAACAGCTATTGAACAAAGTTCAAATCCCAAAGAAATGTGGAACTATCTTAATCAATTAACATGTAATTCAAAGAACATAACACCATCTCATGTGTTTTCTAATGGGGAAATTGTTGATAATTTACAGGATATTGCAAATACTTTTAATAACCACTTTACGGATATCTCTAATAAGCTTCTGATGAAATTGCCTAAACATGATTATGATCCTAATATATTGTGTAATTTTGTTAGGTCTAAGCTTGATGAGGATACCTTGTTTAGTATTCATCAAATTGAGGAAAGTGAAGTTTTTAACATGCTAAATTCTCTAAATATCAATAAATCAGCTGGCATTGACTTTATTAGGCCGCGTCTTCTAAAAGTCGCATCCAAATATATATGTAAACCTATAACTCATCTTATTAATGCTAGCATAGTAAGTGGTATTTTCCCGACAAATTTAAAACAAGCCAAGGTAACACCTATATTTAAGAAAGGTGACAAAGCTGACCCAAATAATTATCGTCCCATTTCTATTTTACCAACTATATCTAAACTGATAGAAAAACATGTAGCTAAGCTAATACAAAATTTCACTAATGAATTTGATCTACTAACACAATCCCAGTCGGGATTTAGGGAACTCCATTCTTGTCAAACTTCACTTACAAAACTAACAGAAAGTTGGCTAATGCAATGGATTGTGGTGAACTAATCGGCATTACATTTATAGATTTTAGTAAAGCTTTTGATTTGGTGAATCACGATATTCTTCTAGAGAAATTAAATCATTACAAATTTGACCAAACAGCTATAAAATGGTTTAAGTCATATCTTTACGACAGGACCCAGTGTGTTAAATTTGGAACATGTGTCTCCAATATTCAACCCGTCACAGCAGGAGTGCCACAAGGGTCAATTCTGGGCCCTCTTTTATTTTTATTGTACATAAATGACCTTCCATTACATGTAAACAATTCAAATATTGATATGTTTGCTGATGATGTTACTCTATATTCAAATAATCATAATGCTCGATGTTTAGAAAATACGCTAAATGCAGATCTTTTCGAGATTGAAAAATGGTGTGCTCAAAATCAGTAGATAAAACAAAATGTATGTTAATGGGAACACAGCAAAGAAAATCAAAATTAGATAATCCAAATTTACAACTTTATGCCTCAGACAAAACAATTGAATTTGTTTAAACTGGAAAAATTCTTGGTGTACATATTGATGATAAGTTACAGTATGCAAATCATATTGATTCAGTTTGTAAAACGGTTAATTATAAGTTGTTTACGCTTCGTAGGATTAAGAAATTTCTCCCTCTTCATACCAGGAAACTTTATTACAATGCTTATATTTTACCATCTATTAACTATTGTTTGACTGTTTGGGGTAATGCCCCCAAGAAGGACATGGACAGACTATTTAAATTACAGAAAAGGGCAGCAAGGATTATCCTTGATGCAAGTCCTGATTCTTCTTCTAAACCACTGTTTGAGAAACTTGGGTGGTTAACGGTTTATGAACTAGTTGATCTATACAAATACATATTATTATACAAAATTTTCTGTGGAATGACTCCCGAATATCTTCGTAATTTATTTGAATTTCAGTCTTCAACTTCTTATAACCTGCGATCCGAAACTAATTATGATCTTAGATTACCAAAATTTCGTACAAACTTATTCAAGACCTCTTTTCAGTATTCAGGTGTACATCTGTGGAATAAACTTCCCCAACACATTAGATTCTCTCATTCTCTACGAACATTCAAGCGTAATGTGGAAAATTACATTATCAGCTGTCGTACAATCATTTGAGCATAATTAGAGTTCAATATCGGATATTGTACTGTTATTGTTAAGATGTGTCTGTATTTGAACACTCTATTCATAATTCAGTGATTGTAATTCTCAAACCTATATAACATGTACTTAATTGTATGTGATTATGATGAATTGTATCTTGATGAAGTGTATATATTTTGTATTTGATATATGTACATATATATAGAGGGCCCTGGGGAAGAATAGTGCATGCACTAACCAGGTTACCTTCTTTAAATAAAGTTTTATTATTATTATTATTATTATTACATGTATTATTAAATCGAAAATACATTATAGATTCCCAGAACCTTGTTTTAAATTGAGATTAGAAATATCAATCTGTAGCACTTCTTTTGGTTTTTTTTCTTCAAAATTTGGCTATACAGTATATCAAAATAGCTTCAATATATACGGTACTATTTTGCTTTAAACTTTTACACACATTTTCATTTTGAAACAGAGGAAACAAATTTAGAAAATATTTACTATCAGAGAGCTTAAAATACAAAACATCATTGGCAAAACATACAAAACAATCAATGTTCATACCATTTTTGTTGACATTTAATTATTTGATAATCCGAACTACTTTTAAAACTACAACAGAGGTGTAAGCGGAGAGCGCCCTCGGTTGAAAGATTTGTTAAAATCACCACAGCAATTTATAAAATGTCATCATAAAGGTTGCTCTTACTGCTATATGTTGGATTTTTGAAAATAATTTCATTCCTGTAATGATGTGTAAAGCATTTAATGTATTGAAAGAAAAAGCCTTGCAATACAATACAATACAAAACAATACAATACATTTCAATACAAAGTTTATGTAGCCAATTATGATATAGACTCTTCAGTGCCTTAAACATTAAAATACACTTTGAAGAAAATACGATTGAAGATAAAACTACTTAAAACACATATGGATGCCAAATAAAATATGGTTTAACTAACAGATCATGCATACTAAAAAACCTAAAACTATTTCAGTTAAACTGTACATAGCGCGGAAATTGCTTATAAAAATTACAACTATTGAAATTTAAATGAAACTGTACTTACGAGTAAAAAAAAAATTCCGTAAAGACCTTATAACCACTTCAGTATTTTTTTGTATATTCTACATTTTTAGTACATTACTAAAAACACAATATTCACAATCCGTCATACGATTGTTTAAAAAGGTGAGTTTTAACCTGGCATGTATGCACTACCGGTATTTGAAAGCAATGAATTTACCAGCTCCTGGTTGACAACAACCACGATTGTGTCTGTGATGACAATATATTTTTTATACATCCATGGTTGTACCCGCGCAAGATAAGCAACAGCTTTGACTCTACCTGTCCTGAAGACATATTTTATATTACAACCACGACGTATTCGCCAGATTAAAACATCAATAACCGTACTTTTCTTGTATGAGGAAGGATATGGAGATAACGAACAGTATTCAATATAAAACAATACATTGAACAAAATAATCATTTTGCATCCTAGACGGTCATTATTCAAAACACCCACGCCTATATTCTATATTCATGACTGAATTAATGTTTGAACAAAAAAAAAACGACGACTGTTCTGTTCTGTATAGAGTGGTATTGGTTGATCTAGAAGCATGGAGGAATTTAAGTGTTTGCCCCTGTCTCATTTTTTCTTTTGGAATTGTATTCTGCTTGTCGGCTAATATTCTAATAATCATAAAGGAATAAACCCTCTGTAATATCAATCAAATCAATCAATCGCGATTATTACCAGGCAACTTCACATTTCACAGATTCAGACATGCAGGAAATTACCATGACTTTCTGAAATCTTTTATATCTGGTTCATGGCGAAAATGCCATTGAAATGTTATTTATTAAATTATGGAAAGTCTTTCGAGTGAGAGTGATATTAGCTTGTTTGGAAATGCATGTATATTTACCAAAAATTATACTTCACTAATATGACAAATGAAATTTTACAGTTGTAAGTGCAGTTTCCATAGAGGCCTCTGATCAAACTGCCTGGGTGGTTATTGGAATACTCATTGGTTTTTTCGTTTTGTTGCTGACGGACTTTGGAGTTTATAAGTTCACTTTTCGTCGAGGTAATTCTTTTTTTTCAACATTTTGCTTTAGTAAAGAAATTGTTCGTACTTAGTGCTAGTTTTTGTGCATGTTCGTGGAAAAATTGTTTTGTTGCTTGTCAAGAAATATTTAGTAGTTGATTGTGTCTCAAATTGAAGATGAAACACTTATAAACATCAACATTGCACATAAAAGTACCTAATAAAAACATGCATTTACACTAAGTTTTAAATACAGTACTTAAAACAAATCTTGAAAATTTACCGATCCTGTAAAAGTGTAACCTAGTTGTTTAATAGATACGTTTTGAAGAAGAATATACAGCATTCAATTTGTATACTGTGAAATTTTTACAAATTCTTTAAAATTACTCAGTCATGAAGTCTTCAGGTAACCAGATTGTCAGATCAAAGAAGTGGTCGTATGCACTTTATTTACCAATGAAACGTTTTAATTATCAATGCTACTGTTTAAAAGAATATTTAATTACATTTTTATCTCCCTCCGCTTGAAAAGTGGGAGGGTAAACTGTGATCGTGATGTCCGGCTGTCTGTACGTTTGTCCGTCTAGCTGTCTGTAAGTGCGTCGCCTGTCTGTTACTCTTTGGATAACCTTATATGATTCGCAACTCCTCTTTTAATTCTAAATGAAACTTAATTAATAAGGCTTTCACAGAATCTTTGGAACATAGCGCTATAATGCAATTCAAAATTTATTTTTGATCCGACACATATTTTGGGGTTCTCGTAGTAAAATGTTGACATTGGCATATTGAATGGTACCCATATCTTATCCGCAGATCTTCCATTACCATTACATAAGATTAAACAATACTTAAGCAATTTTAAAAAAAAATAAATTGCAATTGTTAAGTCCAAATATTATTAATTTGGGTCTCCCAGAGCACAAACCTGGACTTTACCGTACATATGGGAGGAGGGGTATCATTTAGCGAGCACAATACCTCTAGCTTATTTTTTTTCTAAATTCATAGGTATTAGAACAGGATCGATTCAACAACCTCAACCAGCTCACGATCTCAGGATCCAGAACAAAGAATATGATGACATTGATGACGTTACTGTAGAAGCACAAGATCAAAGTCCTAACACTCAGACATACGAGGACGTAACAGAGAACACAGAACAAATACAACCACTGACAGATTATCAGAATATCAATGGACATCAGGATAACCAATATGAAGAGTTAAAGCCTGATCAACATAGACTTTACTCGCCTCTAAAGGTTCAGTGAACCTACGTATAAAGAGAGGTAGAACTTTTTTGTATGGAGAACTTTCATTTTTTCTCACAAATGTATGATAAGATATTTGATTAGTTTTGAAAGACAAGGCACGACACTATTTGCTTTTAACTTAAACAATAGATTTGTTTGAAAAAAAAATATCAGAGAAAAAAGAGAGAGGATGAAATGAATACAAAGGTAATACAATATCCTTTGTGCTATTTAAATATTGTTGAGCTGATAACAACCTTTGATTTTTGACTTGAGAAATTCTTTTAATTTCTTTAATTTTTTTTACACGCTCAGATGTTATCAGAGGAAAACATAAATGCGTTACAGTTTTGTAAATAAAAATCCATATCTTTCATGTTTATAATGTGTGTTTTTCTTTACATTTTTATATAAGAAAGTAGCCAAGTTTTATTCACAGATTTTTATTGTTTATTACTCATTGGATGTGCTGTTACATTGGAATAAGTTGATAATTTGTTGTATGTATGTTTGTGTAAATATGTATGTATAAGGGAGTTTTTCTGTATCGAGTGGTATTGGATAATTTTTTCCACAACCGTCGCCCACTTTGATATTTAGATATATGTTGTGCATATTACATTGGAAAATCACGTATCTCAACATAAATCCATTGAAAATTGGTGTCTTTTGCAACATTTTAAGAAAATAATGGATAATGCACATGTTAATGACGTCACAATTACATGTAGCTTTTTAACATGCATGTAAGAACAATGATTTGTATAATTTTAATGCATGGAATTTCAATAATTCAGAATACATGAGTTTTCATTTTTTACATTAGTTTCATTTTTTAGAAAATCAAAGGGAAACTTTGTATTGAAACTGTACCTTCTTCTTTGTACTTTTAAAATAAAACTAATATTTTCCTTGTTTACTGAGAGGGCCTTATCTAAACGTTGATTGTAGTTATCTCCTCTAACACGTGTAAGCTTAGACAAAAATTTCAAGGAGAAAAGGAAAATGACGGATTTCCTTCGCATTTATACCGATTTATAATTTTACAGACATTTTATTTTATCATTCAGGCAGCTAAAAAGTTAAATATCGCTTACTTTGATAAAAACATCAACATTTTAAACCTTTTATACATCAACTTGGAACTTATAACTTTAGTTAATATGTGATTAATAAAGCGGCAATTGTCTTCTTAATATTCTCATCAGAGTATAACAGGTGGAGACGTATATTTATATTCTATAATTAGGCTTTCTTTATTTGATTGGAAAGGGAAAACATAACATGGCAATTGATAATCAAATATTAATTTTAAATGTAGTCTTGAGCAAAAAATATATAACTGAAATAATTTAATTTCGTATTATGTTTTTATTCCAGAATTTAGTCACCAACTAAGTTCAATCCCCAAAAACTTTTAACATTGATGAATATTTTTGAAATGAAAGGTCGCAAGCTGAGTCCAAATTTGTTTGAAACACTTTTAATTTTACTGAAGACAAGGTTTTAGATCTCTTTAATGATGGTACTTACAGTGTTAGTTATGTAATCAATTGAGAGGCAAACATACGCACATATAACGTGATTTATGATTAAAGTTTGGTATTAAAATAATGATTGGCCAAATATTATTCTACAGATGATTTTATTAAAAGTTCTTATTAATTGAAAAAACAATACTTTCCAGAAAAAAGGTAAAAAATATATACATATCTTAGTAGAAAATATACAGTGTATTTAATGTTTTCTTTGAATTTATAGAAATAAATGTAAACTTGCGGAAAAAAAGACGGCCGATGCCATAAAGATAATGACTATGATACGGAAGAAAAATAAAATCACCAGAAAAAACCCATCTTAATTCCTGACCTTTATCCTATCAATAAGAAACGCCCGTTAGAAACTGCGTGCTGCATGAATTGTTTTCTACATAATGATTAATACGATTAGTTGTCCAAAAAATTCGTGGAAATTGGCTTTTTTTTGTCAAAATGAATGGTTTAAGATATATTTATTCTTCTTATCAAAATGTGGTTATAAAATCTAAGTCAGATTGATTTTGATTTTATTGTTTGATTTTAATACTTGGGTGAAAATCCTAGTTAATATTATTATAAAGAAAAAAAGCGTTTATCCATGAACTTTTGGATAATCACCTTAATTGTACTTTTTTTTCATTTTTTGGAAGGGGGGGGGGGTTCTAGCTGTATTATTATTATTATTCTGATGCAGAATAAATTATTAACGCCCCTCTACATGCACTTACTATCTCCTGTCCATACGTTCACCTCTGTCGTTGTCTCGCCTTTATCACGGTGTTTAGCACAAAAAAAAAAAAAACAAAACCGCGTGTGTTTTAAAACTTAACAGAATGGAAGTCCTGCAGATTTATTTACATTTTAAAGTTTGTTTTACTCGGTAGATCAAAAAGTTTGGCATAAATCTTGGAAAACTTTTTTTTTCTTATGTCAAAAATCCTGACGCCGCCATATTGCAGAGGTACATGTAGCTGAACAGGCACGAACGACAACTCTGCAAGGGAGATTGCTGTACATAAACCTATTTTTCAAATTGATACCTAAATTTATAACAAATTGCAGTCTTTAGGACAGATGATAATTTTTTTTCTTTAGAGGAGACTTAATTTATGTTACAAGTTTAGAAAAAATGTTAATTCTTAGAATTTTTTCTCTTAAGAACTGGAAAATGAAATAGACTTGATAAATATCAGTAATATTTCAATATTATTCCAAATATGGATAAAACACATTAGTAAAGGTTTACAAATAAAACAAAAATTCAGATTATGTAACCTTGGTGCTAAATGGATAATATATAATTTGAAAAAATATACCAAAAATTAGATTAATTTCATTAGGAAAAGTAATATGGTACTTGTTATCATGAGCCTACATGTATGTAATATTGGTGATTTTTTGTCATTTTGTTTTTCTAACTTTATAGAGAATGAACCTCGGGATTGTGTTTGTTGCTGTTTTTAAAGTATTAGTCTTGTGACTGGATACAAAAATATATTCTGCCGTATAGAATAATACTCTTACTGTGCACAAACATACTCTGAAATTGATACTTAAAGGAAACACGAGGTTCTACTTGACGTGATATAATTTTCAAACAAACTGTTGGAATTCTGATGTACACTTAATATGCTTCTTTATTAGCTGACATATTTTTTTTAATATTTCTATCAAGTAGAATTTATTTAGAAAACCACTACATCAGAAGAAAATGGAATTTTGAGATATAACGACGATGTTTTGTATATTAACAATAATTATTCTCATTTATATGACGACACGATATATATGGACAGATCTCTTTGAAATTCAATGAAAGACATCACAGTATCAGCTACTATCTGTTTAATAGTGGGATTTTTAAGTTGGATGTTTTATTTTGACAAAAGACGATAAAGGCCATTCTACAAATTAATTGTATAACAAACAAGATGTGTTTAGTTTTTTCATCGTCATTATACTTCTGTTGTATAATGTCATTACACTTTCTCCCGCTTATGGTCACAATGGTGTGTGGTAGGATTGGATTTTACAGAGTTAGTAAATAACGATAACTCTTATTGGTTACGATCGTTTATTGAACATTCGGAACTTTCTAGCTTTATGCAGTGATTTTGGAAACGTCCTTGTATGAGTTACACATAGAACGTAGATTTTGATTGGGTAAGAGAGACACACCTCCAGAGCGTGGTGTATTTAAAGTCCAGCATAGTTGGCTAAAAACCTTCTCAAAGGTTCGTGCCAGCTCACTTTTTGATAAGATAGGTGGATCCCGGTCGCTGTCTCTGTTTTGTTCAATATGGCCAATTGTCTGGTTCACTCGTTCAATATTGTCCTTTTTGTTTTCCTTATTTTTATGTCCATTTCTATTGTTAATTTAGAGTTCCTTATTTCTATTATTGGTAAACCGGTAAGGTTAGGCGTAGTAAATTTTTCGTGCAGGGTAACTTTTCTTCGGACTTAGCATTGGGTAGGACGGGCTCTGAACTTTGTACGTCGGTTAGGTAGGCATTTATTTTTATTGAGGCCCATAAGTATAAGGTCGTTAGTACATCAGTTTTCGTTGTTCGTACTGTTAATAAAATACAATTGTTGGCATGATATATTTGTTAATTTGCAAATTCTTGTCATTAAAATTCTTGGGTTAGTATGTCACTTTCGTGAGTATTTGAGATTCAAAAGGTTTATTGGTTAATGAGAAGTTGGTATAAAACGTGAAGTACTATTATTGACAAAGAAAGGGTGTGATATAAGAGGTATTTTTATACTGTCATTTTCGTTACACTGATATCGTGGATTTTCCTAAATTGCATTGATACCATTTAGCGAATTCCGGGTACATTGGTGCCATGAGTGGTACATTAGTTTGAGGGTAAAACCAAATCCTGTCACAGGTGTGTATGTTTTTAAACGTATTTGCTTCTCAAGGGCGGGGCTTACTCTAAGGACGATCAATGTTTAAAGGAAGGCATGCTGATCACTGAGGAATTGATGTTACATCCATTAAAGACAACATTTTGTTAATTCACTCGTCATTATAATGCTCTTGTTAGAAAATATAACCTATCATGTGGCTGTTTCAAGGCTTACGTGTTTCAAAGCAATCGTTAAATCCTTTTTTATAATGCATTTGACTAGGTTCTTTAAATATTATTAATACACAGGGCTCATAGCGGGCATGATTGATAAACAGGGGATGTCTGCTCATCTTAGGCACCCTATCTACTTATATGAATTTAACTCCCTTCCCTGCAGACACGCATTTCAAAGCATATACCATTTCAGATATCGTTTCCCCGTAATCATGCATTTTTTACACACTTTCAGGAATAGATTTAAATTTAATCTTCAACTTAATGCCCATTCCCTTCTATTTTCTTCTTCCGTAAATCTCATAAAATAAAAGTCACCTTTAATACCTTGCACAAAATTAGAATGTTCAACTTTTTTTGGAAAATATTGATCACTTTTCGTATTCTTCAATTTATGTTCGAGAGTAAAGTAGAATTTGTTTTAGTTTGCATTAAATTTGGAAGTTTAGGTTTTCCATACCCCATGAGGGAAGATACTACATACATGCATGATCATTATAATTCAAAGTTCCTTGTGCACTCCTATGCCAATAGCCATTTTTCGAAGAATAATGATGTTACTCAAAATAATGATGTTTCTCTCTAATGCGAGTTATTTACAATTATTTACCTTTGGGACAAAAAAGTTTTACACATAGAACTACAATTTTTTATCACGCTTGAATTCTATTTGAAAATAATGACTGATGGATAAATTGTTCTTAGGGAAAATTAATAAAAATTAAGACGAGTTAAAATATAATTTTTACCAGGAAATACGAAAATAGTATACATAAAATGAACTTTCGCGGAAAAAAGACGGTTAAGATTATGAGTTTAAACGGAAGAAAGCTTTGCAGCTAAACAGTTCTCATATTTGACCCTCGTCCAATCAAGGAAAATCACCAATTTCCTGCGTAAAAAGTATTACTATATATGGAACAAGAAATAGATTTGTGTTTTATATAATTTATTTCTAGTTATAACTGCGGCGTTTTACATATAAATCATTTGCAATTTTTTTGCTTATGGAAAAAAAGACTCATAAAATAACTGTATCTGTAAATAAGCGTTTTTCAAACCGTAAATAAACATAACATCCTTTTGTTCTCTTCAATTATATATAACGATATTGGATAACTGGCCGAGGGAATTTTTTTCCTTTTCCGTTTTTATTGTTTTTATTGTTTTTTTTTTTGTTTTCGTTTATTTTTTTATAAAAGGAATTATAATTGTTGTCTTCACCCAGGAAAAAAATTCAATTTCAACCAAATGATCAAATTTCCTTTACAAATGAAGAATTTTTAGACGAACTCTTGACACCAAAATTCTCCACGATAATATACATTGTCTGGTCATTATCAAGTTTGGAAAAGTAGAACAATGGTTTCCTCATTCCACTTTTAAATAAAGGAAAGTTGATGGTCATTAATTCAAAACAAGTCAAATGAATGACAAACTGTAAGCACACATCTAATTTGTTAAATTAACTAAGGATAACAATGTTTTAATATGAACCCGCAATATTTGTGCACATCCATGA